ACTCTTGGGTTTTTGGCCTGAGACACCATATTGGTGCTGATTTACTGAATTCAGAAAACTTAGGTATAAATTTGGAGGAAAAAAACCACGTGTTATTTTTATGGTACTTTTATTTTGACCAAATGCACTGAATAAGAAATATTTGTATTTTTCTAACCTGTAAATTTGTATTTTTCTAAACCTATTTTAGTCTTCTGAAGTTGTAGCATTGGTGAAGCTAATCCTAACTGACCAAAGAGACAAATTCACTTTCTCTTTATTATTTGAGTTGTGTGTTCCATTTGCATATATATAACTAAAATTCAAAGAATGTCCGCAATCAATCTTTCCCTATAGCTTCCTGCTGAAAATTTTATAAAGCATGAACTCAAGAGAAACTAAGAACCATACCTGCTTCACTTACATTATATATATCAAGCCCACAGCACAACTTAAAGGAACATGAAGTAAATGAATTTAATTGTGCTGATGATGGTAGCAGCCAAAACACATACCACAAAGAGAAGCCAACAAAGTCTAGGCCAGCTTATGTGCAATGTTTTATACCATGTCTTAAACATTAAATAGCTCTCATTCCAAATGAGTCATTTTTCTTCTATTTCAGGTCTTCACAAAGAGTACAATCAGTTCTGCTATTGTTTGGAAAACAGGAATTTGTTCTGATGCATTTTATACAGTAGGGACAATTTGAGGACAATGCATATTTAATGTTTCCTTATGCACCATTTCACGTGAGCAACACTAGATAATGAAGAAAACTGCACTCAACTGATCCAATTGCACAGGAATACACAAAACACACACACCCTCCTCAAATATCTGCCAGCTACCTTAGTTCACTGGCCTGGGTTATGAGCCACACCCATTCACATCTGCTTTTAGAACCTCCCATCTAATTTCAGATAATCCTCCTTCTACCATTTCACAATAACTCACAAGCTGCAACCCTTTTTTTTTAACATTTTTTATTTAAATTCAATTAATTAACATATAATGTAGTATTGGTTTCAGAGGTACAGGTCTGTGATTCATCAGTCTTATGTAACACCCAGTGCTCATGACATCATATGCCCTCCTTAAAGTCCATCACCCAGTTACCCCATCCCTCCACTCACCTTCCCTCCAGCAACCCTCAGTTTGTTTCCTACGATTAAGAGTCTCTTAAAGTTTGTCTCCCTCTCTGGTTTCATCTTGTTTTATTTTTTCCTCTCTTCCCCTATGATCCTTTGTTTTGTTTCTTAAATTCCACACATCAGTGAGGTCATATGATAATTGTATTTCTATGATTGACTTATTTCACTTAGCATAATCCCCTCCAGTTCCACCCATGTCGATGCAAATAGTGGGTATTCAGCCTTTCTGATGGTTGAGTAATATGTAGTGCAATTGCTGGGTCATAGGGTAGCTCTATTTTTAACTTCTTGAGGAACCTCCATACTGTTTTTTCAGAGTGGCTGCACCAGCTTGCATTCCCACCAACAGTGTAGGAGGGTTCCCCTTTCTCCGCATCCTCGCCAATACTTGTTGTTTCCTGTCTTGTTAATTTTAGCCATTCTGACTGGTGTAAGGTGGTATCTCATTGTGGTTTTGATTTGTATTTCCCTGATGCCGAGTGATATGGAGCATTTTTTCATGTCTGTTGGGCATTTGGACGTCTTTTTTGGAGAAATGTCTGTCCATGTCTTCTGCCCATTTCTTGATCGGATTATTTGTTCCTTGGGTGTTGAGTTTGTTAAGTTCTTTATAGATTTTGGGTACTAGCCCTTTATCTGATATGTCATTTGCAAATATCTTCACCCATTCTGTCAGTTGTCTTTTGGTTTGTTGACTGTTTCCTTTGCTGTGCAAAGGCTTTTTATCTGCAATCCTTCTAACACCCACATGCAAACTTCAAGTTTGTTTCAAGGTAAAGTACCATATAGTATTTACATATTTTCTAACCATTTAATGTATGTAAAACAGTACTACCATTTTTACTAGGTTTCTATCTTTTTTTTTTTTTAATGTGTCACTTACAAAGTTTTTGAGTATTGTGCACGTAACTGCTTTATTCCATAAACCCTGGATCACATATAGCAGAACTGATATCTAAAATGTAAATTTTGGGTTAAGTTTCTAAAACTAAACAAACATCATCAAAGTGATTAGATAAGTTTAATTATAGTTTCTCTGAATTATGAAATGTGATTTAACACAATGCTTAGAATGAGAAGGATATTGCAAGCTTAAGAAAATCACATTCTGATTGGGTATTATGTATTAGGTACTATTTCACTCACAAGTATGGTCATATCTTATTTGAGTGTTTAATTTCTGTACTGTAATTATCATTTTCTAACATCTCATAAAAGAGAAAAGAAGTAACTAAAGAAAAGTTCTTTTCATTTTTAAAAGAAATAGTTGATTTTGTGAAATGCATATGTGGAGTGTGTGTGTGTATGTATTGGGGATTAAGTTTTAAGTGCAACCTAAATCTATCCTGAAAGAAAAGTGTAAATGCAAATGTTGAATACTTATAGTGAAAGGAAAAGAGAAAGGGAGAGAAGTGGGGGTTGGTGAGAAATTTTACTCTTTTCACTCTCAAAGAAGCTAGAAAAATCACTGCTTGGGAAAAAAAGTTAAACAGTAGAAAAAAAAAAAGTCTTAATATTCATTCAAATACTATAAAGTTCTTATAAGCCAGACATAAAATTATGGCATATTTTATGAAAATGAAAGTAAAAGAGAAGAAAATATTAATATCAAGAGTCTTGAACAGTATTTCATTCTGAAGCCCTGGAGATTTAGCAGGTATCCCTTCAAGCTATACTAGCTGAGTATGTGGGTATGTACCAGAGACTCCTGTCCACTAGGGGCTAGACTTTCACCAATAAACTGTTCGTAACTATAGCACTTTTAAATAAAGTCCTATTTAGCAAGCATACAGATAAAAAGATGTTTTTTAATCATGAAATGTATTTCTGATCATAAGAGATTATTTTTAAATAAGTATCTTAGAATCAGTTTAATAGTTCCAAACAAACTAACTCAAAAGATGTATATTCTCAAATAAAATGCTATTTCAGGAAGTTTACACTGTGATAGTAAGTTTCATCACTGAAACATTTGCTGTTTTCCCTCTTTTTCACCTTCCAGCTTTATGAAGGCTAGACTTTATCATGCATTAATCATGCATAATTAACATCAAGCAATCAAGTCTTCCTGGTATGTCACTGTTAAATAAAAGTATTAGACGCAAAACAAGATTATAGGGTTTTTTAAAAATATTTGGAATTCCCCCATTTATCAAACATTTGTTCAGTTATTTCTGGATAATGGGTTTTGGTAACAACTTATGTTTTTGTTTCCTTATTTGTCTACTTGCCCAGTCTTCTATGACAAGAAGGTAAACTTTTATAATCACAAAGAAAGAGTAATTTTTAAATTGAAGATTCATTTATTGACCTCCCAAGAAACCTGCTCTAGCCATACAAAGATAAGAAAGACAAGAACTCTATCTCAGGTTAGTCAGACTCATTAGAGAGACTGGTAAATAAACAAGGCCTTCCCAAGACAATGACCTTCCCTCTGCTATTTAAAAAAAAAAAAAGTATATAAAAGGCACAGTACAGTATAATGCAAGGTATGGACCAGTTAAGATCCATGGGTTTGGACTCAGAGGGAGCATGGTCTAAATACTGGCTCTGCTGTGTATTCTCATTACATTTTTAGCCACCCTGTTTCAACCTGTTTCTCTTTACTAGTGCCTGGCACATACTAAGTGTTCAAGAAATACTGTTTTTAAAATAGAGCACTACGAAAGGATAGAGTAGGGCATTGAGAATGAACACACCTACTAATCAACATAAGACGGATAAAGAGCGTAGTTCCTCAGTGCACCAAGAGTCATCTACTTTGGATGTCTACTGCACTAGAATTTTAGGGTTACATGGAGATAGATGATCAGATAGATAGCAGATGATAGATAGATAGATAGATAGATAGATAGATAGATAGATAGATAGATAGATAGATGATAGATAGATAGATAGATGATAGAAGACAGATAGATCTGCAAGCAGCACTACTGCTTAACAGCTTAGAGTCTATTTTGAAGTTCTAAAGCCAGTAAGGTCACAGAACACTCTCACGAGGAATGAGTTGGCCAAGTTGTGCCCAAGGAAGTTCTCACAAGAAGGCATTATGAAATGTCCTATTCCTCAGAACTTAACTGTAAAATGTTCCCACCAGAGTCCAATGGGAGGCTTATGGGAGTAAAGGATAGAATTAGGTCTTGTATATTTTTAAAGGGTCATTCAAAAAGGCAAAGCCTAAATTTTTTACAGATGGCAGAATAAGGACTGATGCAGTTGGCCAAAACTGACCTTTTATATTTCCCAAAAGCAAATGTTTACTGAAAGAGGACTTTACTATATTACCAATGGGGGGAAAAAAAAAAAGTCCTGGATGCTTACACTGGACAACTCAGTACACATTCACTGCCAAATACATTTATAAAAATCAATAATAATATTTTCCATGGTACCTGTTTTCAACCTTCCCGCAAAATTTCGCCCTGTATTTGCTTTTTCTCAAACACAAATATGTTTCTGAGGAAAAACAACATTTCACATGAGAATAGGCTTGTGAAAGCACATGCATTTTAGGAACCTTACTGTTAGCTCCACATTCTCTACTTCAACAATGACACACAGGTCAGGGTGAAGATAGTTGATTTTGCCAGGTCTTCTAGATAATGAATATAGAACTGATTTTAAGTTCTTCCAGAATGAAACTCCTTTTAAACTTCTTTTAAAACACACTTCCCTAGGGAAGAGGGAAAGAGGTTTCAGAAATTTCTATGCTCTTTTGGATGTTAACTCTTCAAAAACAAAATTTTGATGAATTCAGTGGGAGAAGTTAGAAATATTAAAATTAATGAAACATGGACAGGAAAAATTAAAGGTGGTTTGTCACAAGAAATATTGGGTTTGATAAGTTCAAAAAGTTTGGGGGGTAGGGTGCTCCCATCAGCAGCACACATATACTAAAACTGGGACAATATGAAGATTAGCATGGTCCCTGAACAAGGATGACATACAAATTGGAGCAGTATTCCATATTTTAAGAAGTTTTTTTAAACATATGTAATAAAAATGGATTTAAGAATGTCCCTGGTACCCTACTTGAGAAGAGTCTTGTTGGTTTTTTGTTGTTTTTTTTTTTTCTGGAAATGAATGGAATATCCATTCTGTAATGCAATTAGAGAAGTGTCTAGAAACACATGTAATAAAGATGGTTATGTAATGTTATATGGAAAAAAAGTGTTTAGAGGGATAGTTTGAACTGTGAACTCAAATTATGAGTAGTCTTAATCATCCCCACAACAGCCATAGTATGGAAATTTCTTCTTATTTATTAAGTGGGTTTTAAGGACTCTTTTAACACGTAGATTTTTAAGAACATTTTGTTCCATACCTAGTCTGCAGAAAAATCAGACACACCCCACTTTTCTTTCTCAGAATTAAATAAACACAGTTGATATTCAGACAACACTTAAAAATACCTTGTATATACAGAATGACTTTGGTACCTAATCTAAGTTCCCCAAATGGCCACTCTCTATTAGGAATTGCAGAAGTCTATACCATTTTAAAACAATAAAAATAAATGGGTAGCTTAAAGTGTAAAATAGACCCCCACTTTTGAGAAAGGTTTAGCAGATTCTTATAAAGTTAAATATACCTCTATCCTTTGATCTAGCAATTCCACCCCTCTATATTTACCAAAAAACTAAAAAAAAAAAAGAACATATAGCCACAAAAATATGTGCACCAGAATGCTCATAGAAGCTATATTCATTAGTGGCAAAAACTGGAAACTCAAATTCCGTTAAGAGAAAAATGGACAAATTTTAGCACATTCATACAGCAGAACACTACACACCAATAAAAAAATATTGGTAGGCACAACAACATGAATAAGTCTAACAGACAATATGCGAGCAAAAGAAGCTGAATACAAGAGTAAACAACTCATTTATATGAAAGTTAATAATAGGCAAAATGAAATCAACAGTTTTAAAAATCAAAAAAGTGGTTGCCTCTAAATGAGGGAGAGAAATAACCAGGAAAAGGACATGAAGGTACTTGCCAGAATGATGGCAATGTAGGTTACATGGCTGGCTACATGCATTTGTCAAAAGTCACCAAATTGTACACTTAAAAATGTGTACATGTCACTATATAGTAATTCTATCTCAAAAAACAATATATATCTAAGATTTTTAATGTATATCATGTAAATAAAAGAAGTGTGGCTTCGTTTATGTGTCTTCCTATATCGCGGTTTATGAACTTAAGTGGTTCCAACAACTCAATGAACATATTTAATTCGGCAACTGTGCATCATTTTTCTAACTGGTCTATTTTCCAGAAGGCAAGAGCTTTTTTTTTTTATTTAAATTGTTTGTAATACAGCACATAAATTGCCATTAAACATGGCAATGCAATGAGAACCTCTAGAAGGAACAGGTGGGATCACTTCCCTTTTTTTCTTATGACTTTGAGAATAAATCTCCCCCAAATGACACCTTTCTCCTTCAAACACTTCAGTTGTATATTTTATAACTTTTACATATGTCATTTTTACATGACAGTCACAGCTCCCACCTGGAGTTTTGCAACACTGTCCGCATGTTACCTTTTTTTTTTTTTTTTAGAATATGCATGTTTTATTCTGAATAATTTTGCATAATAAAAATGAAAGTACAAAATAATTAACACAAAATATTTTAACAAGCTGAAATAAATCATGAAAGAAAAAAAGCAGAAATGTAATCCATGCAGAGTCTCCAAAAGTCTTAACAGCTTTCCAGTATCACTAATGGGAAGACTTAAAGGTCAAAATCTAAGAGTCTAAATCAAGAGTCTAAAATAATCTAGTATACACTACCTAGGCAATTAATATTGATGTTGAGAGTAGCCAGAATCAACAAGTTAAAAAAAAAATACGAATGGTTTAATAGTTATAGGGATTATAACTAACAAGCTAAGAAAAACTTCAAGAATCCTGAGATCCCTATTAGACATTTCAAAAAACACTGAATGAATATTCATTCATGTATTCACTCACTCATTTGTTCATTCTATCAATAAGTATTTATTGGGCATCCATTATATACTAGAATGTTTTAAGAACCTGGAATAGGTAAAAACAAAAAGATAAAAACCTCAACTTTTCAGTGAGATAGAATGTTTGATAGCATAACAGGGGGAAAAGTAAGGCAGGGAAAAGGGTAAGAAATTAAGGGAAGGGGGTTGAAATTTTTAGTAAGATAGCCAGGAAAAGCCTTACTAAGAAGGCAGTCTTGAGTAAGGACACAAAAGAGAGAGAACTAGACATGCCAATATATGGGAAAGAGCATCCTACACAGCAGGAACAGCAATGCAAAGGCCCTGAAATGGGCAGCACCTAGCAGGTTTAAGAAGTTAAAAGGCAACTCTCAAGGCTGGAAAAAGAGAACTACAGAAAAAGGGGAGAAAGTAAGATCAAAGAAACACTGTAAGCTATGTCACACCTTTCAGACTATTGTAAAGACTGGCTTTTACCACATGTGATGGGGCCACTGTAGATTAAAAGCGGAGGGGTGACATGATCTGACTTCCATTTTAACAAGATTATTCTGGCTAGTCTTTCGAGAATAGAATGGGAAGGTCAAGGATGAAAACAGGAAAAGCCATTTAGGAAGCTACTGCAATAATCCAGATGAGAATGAGAGTCGACAGTAACTTGGAACAGGGTGGAAGCAGTGCAGAGTCAACAGAAAACAATCAAGTTTTATATATATTTTGAAGGTAGAGCTAATTAAGATTTACTGGCACATCAAATATGGAATGTGAAACAAGGAGTCAAAGAGGTCTGTAAGGTTTTTGGAATAAGCAACTGAAAGAACACTGATCTCCCAATTTGGGTAAAGTCCTTGTCATATTAGTGGAATTATACCCACCGGCAAACAGGGAAGTGCAGTGGGGAAAAACCTGCTGGTGAAAAGAAAATAAACAAAACTTCTATCCCTGTATAGTAGGTAACCTCTGAAATTCTTTCACAAAAGCAGTATTGCTCTAGCTTGAGTCTCTGAATCTAATTAAATGCAAACTCCACATTTTCTTACTAATCTTCGCTTATAGGTGATTTTGATAGTACAGAAGAATGATATCATGGTAATAGGAGGATAAGTTATTTTAAAAAAATAGTATTTAATTGGAAGGTGAGTATTTTAAAAGGTCCACTTCAGAGCTAAATCTAAACATTTAGGTGATGATCTGAAACATACAGTAATCTCCACACAATTTAGTTTTGTTAAATATATCATTAATTTGTAGTGTTCATTATTCAATGAAGTTGATATGTGGATCAAGTGCAAGCTCTGAGTCAGAAAGAACTAGGTTGAAATTCAAAGTCCACTGCTTTAGGTTATAGGGATTGGACACATTATTTTACTTCTCTAAATATGTTTCTTCACATCAAAACTAGATATACAAATACTCATATCTGGCACTTTTTAGGTAGCTAATAATAATAACTGATTAATATTATCCACTGAGGGGTTCCTGGGTGGCTCATTCGTTAAGCATCTGCCTTTGGCTCAGGCCATGGTCTCAGGGTCCTGGGATCAAGCCCCACATTGGACTCCCTGCTTGGCAGGAAGCCTGCTTCTCCCTCTCTCACTCCACAAGTGGGAGCTTGTGTTCCCACTCTCGCTGTGTCTCACTCTGTCAAATAAATAAATCTTTTTTAAAAAATTATTATCCACTGAATCAAATTTTCTAATTTGATTTTGTAATATTTGAATTATTTAAACCTGAGACATAATTTTTTAAAGATTTTATTTATTTACTTATTTGAGAGAGAGAACATTGTGGGGGGGTTAAAGGAGAAGGAGAAGCAGACTCCCCACTGAGCAGGGAGCTTGATCCCAGGACCCTGAGATCATGACCTGAGCCGAAGGTAGAGGCCTAACCAACTGAGCCACCCAGGAGCCCCTGAGACATAATTTTAAAAGGACAAATAATATATATTGATTGTTGGGAAAAAAAGTTATTTTGATTTTTATTTACATGAGTGATATTCAGAAAATCTGAATTTTTAGGTTTAAGAGTATTTTTTCCTTAGCACATAACTTTTGCTTACTACCAGTGGTAAAAATTAAACTGTGGCAGCAGATTCACTAAATATCACCTTAGTCATATCTTCTCTTGCCTTCTCTACCATAAAGGCTTCTGTTGCAACTAAAAGTAAAATGTGACATATTTCTAACCAATAAAATGTGGGGAAGTCTCCTAAATAAGGCTTCCAGATGGTTTTTTTTTTTCCCCTAATAAAAAGAGTCTCAGCTGATACATTTCTCTCTCTTCCTTTATACCACTCTTTCCCCTTTATCCCTTCCTGAAATGTGGATACAATATCTTGAGATCTAACAGCCATCTTGGTTTTATTAGGCAGTAACTAGGAGAACAAAATGCAACACCTAAGCCTGCAGAACACAGAGATGGATATAATATGTATCCCTGAAAAGATCATTGAAACACTGTACCAATTGTGAACTGTCAACCTCCAGACATCATCTCAGTTTGTGAGAAAAATTAAAACATATTTAAGCCACAGTAGTCATAAACTGCTTCTGCTCACAGCCAAAATACAGTCCTGATAAACCACTTTTCTTTATACTAGGTGAGAAGTATCTATCCACTTTGTTCCTTACATTTTATCTTGTCATTTTTTTCTAATGAGGTATACTTTTTTTACTATCCCATTTTCCTTAAGTAACCTATTCAGAAAAAAAAATTCTGATAATATACCCATGTGTTCGTCACAGATTTTCTTTTAATAAACTTTGTGAAATACATACATCCAGCTACTACTTCTATAAGGAACAGGATTTTTTTTAACCAAATTAACATCATAATATAGGCTCTTGTAAAATTTTCATGCTTTTTATAAAAGCTAATATCAAGGGCGGAGCAAGATGGC